GCAGAAGACAGATACCCACTGACCTCAGCCTTGGGGTGAGTGCCATGGGACAGCAGGGTGCGGGTAAGGTCAGAAGAACGGGTGCCTGACACTTTGTGTCTGCGTGTGCCAGCATCTCACCCAGGCAAGGAGTACAACTGAGGTCAAGTGATGGGAAGTGGGTGACCAAGCTGTGCACATAGGGACTTGACACCAGCTGCCTGCTGCCAGAGAGTCCCACCTCTCCTCTGTACCAGGCACTGTGGTGAGCCTTTCAGGGCCAGAACATCCCTGGCCCACCCACATTTTACAGATGAAGAAAACTGAGGCACACAGGGTGATTTAATGCTGAGGGGAGGAGTGCCCCAAGGAACTGCCATGGCGGAAGTGCTTGAACACCCTGTGCTGGTGACTGTGTGAGTGTGCACTGTGCGTTGAGGTTGGACCACATGGACACCAAGTGTTTGTGGTGATGAGATTGGCTTTGTGTGATTTACAAACTTTCTACAGTGGATAAATAACACTTCAGTTATCAGAGTTACATGTTTGGCCAGAACCTGTTATTTGAAAATGACTGTACCCACCTTCCACTCATGGACTGGGGGTCCCAGGATGAGCACCCTCATAGCTGGAAGGATGCCTCCAAAGGGGCCTGGCTAGATGTCTTCCTCTCTCTCCCTCTCCCGTTCTCTCTCTCTCTCTCTCTCTCTCGCTCACTCTCGCTCTCGCTCTATCTCTCTCTCTCTCTCTCTCTCACATACACACCCCCAAACAAACGCAAATGTTTGGAGCGCATGTACTCTTTCTGATGGCTATTTCTTTAAAGCAGGAAGTTAGTTCAAAAGGGACTTCTCTGGACAGCTGGGGTGGCTCGGTGTGGCTGGGGAGGAAGCCTGAGAAGAGGGCTGTCCCAGGAAGACACCCTGTAAAGCCCTGCTGAGAACCCAACAGCACCCACCTGCATGAACATTTCCTTTGATGAATTAAAGCCTCAGATTTCCAAATGTGCACTAGGATTCCTGCCATCAAGGCCCCCAACTCCTGGGAGATGGGATGAGGCTGAGGCTACAAGCCCCTTTCCTGCTGTCCCACCCAGCATTGCTAGGGGTCCCTCCACCTACAGAATAGGCCTCTGGCATTTCTAGGTCCTCTGGACCTACAGCTCCTTGGAAACTCGTGCATCTATTTAACCTGAGTTCAGATGATACATCCCAGTTGTGGGGACATGATGAGGCACCAGTCAGGAATAGTCCCTGCCAGCAAAATGTTCCCCTCCTGGTTAGAGGGCCCTGGGCACCCTTGGGCTGAGAACCATGGCATGTGTCTTCACAGCCAGGAACAGCAGCAGACTCTGCACACCAAAGTGGCAAGAGATGGCACAATGGTGCCAGGCCTTCTGCCATGCTCCCCCAGGGGCACTGGCGCGCTCCTGGGCACTGTAGCCTATGGGGCGGCCCCAGCTGCTCAGGTAAGTGGCTCTGGTCAGCTGGATGACCACACCCGTCCCAGCCCAGAGCTCTGCAGCGCTGCCTTCTCTTCCTTCCCAAAGCAGGGCTGAGGAAGCCGCCCCCCGGGGAGCAAGGCCCTGACTAGTCCATGCTCGTGGCAGAGGAACCTACTGGGGAAACTCCTGGATGTGGCTTCTGTGCCATCCACTCCCCTGGCGGAGCTCATCGGATGTCCAAGCCACCGTCACTGAGGTAGAGACAGAAACTGTTCTCACAGAAGGCATAGAGCAGATCCCAAAGAGTGGCCAGGGAGGCAGTCCTCTTACAGGGAAAGGGGCAGCTGGGATCAGGAATCCAGGCAGCCTCGGGTACAAGGTAGGTGCTCATGGAATGGCGTGAGCAGGGAGGCTGGTTGCAGAGTGCCAGACCTCAGGGCCTGTCTGAGATGCTCTGAGCAGGTGGAACAGAAATGTGAGCACTTGGGACAAGAGCTGCAAGGGGTGGCAGAAGTCACATTGACGGTGCCACCCATAATCCTTCTGCTATGTCCATCGCCAGGCTAGAGGCTCACAGACACCCGGGCGTGCCTGCCTATCTTGTTCACCTGTCTACTCACACTACCCCTGACTAGAGCCTGAGCTTTATGAGTCAAGACATTATCTGGTATCTCCCCTGGGATGTCCTGCTAAGCAGCTGGCATGGGGTGGGAACCCCATTAACCACTGCCCGACTGCCACAGAAAGTAGGAATTCTACCAGGAGCTGCCCCTGTGACCTTCACAGAGTTGAGTCAGAGGGTTCAAACATTTGTTCATTTAATAAGTGGTTACCAAGCCAGTTTCAAACCCTGGGAACAGAGGAAAGAAATAGCAGGACACAGTGCTTGCACCAGGGAGTTTACATCGTCTGGGAGAAAGAATATAAATAATTCAGCCAGCATACAAAGACATTGTCCATTCTGAAAGGGAAATACAACCTGGGGTGTTGTGGTTGAGACAGGGTGGAGAGAGAAGACAATGTTTGAGTTGGAGGCTGAGGACAGTGAGAAGCCAGCTATGAGAAAGGGCAGCACTATCCCAGGAGCTCCCCCAGCCCCCACCCCACTCCAAGAAAGCTTCCTGCTTGGCTCAGCTCTGGAGGGTAGGGTATTCCCCAAAAGTTTTAGGTCAGGCCTACCCTCAGCCTAGTTTGCACTAAAAGCTCATCCTTCTGTGTGTCTGAGAGACTGAAGCCAGACACTATCCCAGAGCTCCAGGCAATGAGGGTCCTGGGTGGCTGGTGGGCCATGTGGGCACCGGCACAGATCTTTCCAGGTGGATATGCAGGATTGTCACAGAGAAATGCCATGCGAGCTTCAGTGAGAACTTACCATGAACCTCAAATACCAGAGTTATCACCTACAGAAAAAACACAAATCTGCTCAAAGCAAAAATGGGGAGGAATAAGATTATATAAAAAACAAAGACCAGGCAGATTTCAAAAACAAAAACTGAAGAGAAGTACTATAAATTTAAAAAAAATTTTTTTTTTACTGAACTTCAGTTCAGTGAGTGGGTTAAAAGAGCAGATTAGATACAGTTGGAAACAGAATCAGTAAAGTGGAAGGTAGACCTGGGGAAATCAATCAGATGGCAGCTCAAATAGAAAATACAAAAAAAGAGGTCAAAATGTGGAGACAGGTGCAAAGGTCTATAATATGTATGTGCTCAGAATTCTGCAATAAACGAAAACACACCATGGGGAGGTCATTTCACCAACAGGAGCCCTCAGAGTCATGCAGCTTCAGGGCAGAGCGTTTGATAAGTGAACAGAGTAAACAGCAAGTGTGTGAGCCCCATAGCGAGGACTGGAGCCACTCCAGCAGAAGCAGCGTCAGCAGCAGTGAGAACTGCAGGAGGCAGGTAGAGAGGGGGGAGGGGGGAGCCCGCCAGCCACGGTAAGGTCTTTATTGCAGGAAGCCACTAGAAGTTTTCCAAAGTGGGGAGTGGTAATCTACCTCCTGCTTC